CTGCGGTGGCGGGGGGCGGCCCCTGCCCTCCAGTCTAGGCGACAGTGAGACTCTAACTCAAAAAAAAAAAAGGGCCCCAAAGAAGTTTCTCAGACCTGGAAGGCGGAGGGCCTGGGGCCGAGGGCACTCCCATTGGTGACAGGCATGCTGCTCCTGGACTCCGGGGATGCTCTGCCCACAGGTTAGGACCGTGGTTTCCTAGCCAGCCCTACTGCACACACTGGAGTCCCACAGGCATACTGCAGACACGGGGGTCTTTCCCCAGTCAGCTGGGATGCAGATACCACGTTCCTCGTAGCTTTCCCCTATACTCCTTCCTCCAGTCTTTGCTGTCTGCACTGACTCTCCTGCCTGTGAGCAGCCACAGCAACAAAAGTAATCTTTTTTATTTTTTTTAGTTGGATTCTCACTCTGTCGCCCAGTCTAGAGAGCAGTGGCACGTTCACGGCCACCGCAGCTTCGACCTGCTGGGCCTAGGCGATCCTTCTGCCTCAGCCTTCCAAGTAGCTAGAACAGGCATGCGTCACCACACCCGGCTTACTTTTTGATTTGTTGTAGAGATGAGGTCTCACCACGTTGCCCAGGTTGGTCTCGAACCCCCCGGGCTTAGGCAATCCTCTTGCCCCGGCCTCCCAAAGTGCTGGGATGACAGGCTGAGCCACCGAGCCCGGCTCAAAGGGAATCTTCAAGCCTCAAGAAACACCAGGGGGCAGCGTGGCAGCAGTGGAGGACACATGCATTTTCATAACTAAGTGCTGTTTGCCTGCTGATCGGCTGATGAAATCAAACACAGGACTTTCTGGTTTTTTTCTGCAAAGAGTGTTGTCAGCCTCAGGCCCTCCACCTTCCAAGTCTGAGAACCTTCCTTGGGGCCCTGATCTGAATGCAGCACTAAGCAGCTTTACGGGTGGATCAGAGATGCTCGGAAAAATTAAGCGCAATGTGGAGTTTCTGCTTTTGGGCATGCTGACTCCAACCCCCATGGGGAAAACAGAGTTGTATCTTGGCAAACTTTTAAAATTATTTTATTTGGGCAGGGCATGGTGGCTCATGCCTGTCATCCCAGCACTTTGGGAGGTCAAGGTGAGAGGACTGCCTGAGCCCATGGGTTTGAAACCAGCCTGGGCAACTTGGCGAGACCTCATCTCTACAATAAGTCAAAAAATTAGCTGGGTGTGGTGGCTGTGAGGGTGCCACTGCACTCCAGCCTGGGTGACAGAGTAAGACTCTGACTCAAAAATAAATTATTTTATTTTAATTAATTCATGAATTAATCTGTTGTCTAGGCTGGTCGCGAACTTGTGGGCTCAAGCAATCCTTCTGCCTTTACCTCCCAAAGTGCTGGGATTATAGGTATTTTATTTTTGCTTTTTTTTTTTTTTTTGACAAGGTCCCACTCTGTTGCCCAGGCTGGAGTGCAGTGGCACAATCCCGGCTCATTGCAGCCTCAACCTCTTGGGCTCCGGTGATCCCTCTGCCTCAGCCTCCTGAGTAGCTGGGACTATAGGCATGCCCCCATTACTACCAGGTAATTAAAAAAATATTTTTGTTGTTGTTGTAGAGATGAGGTTTCATTATGTTGCCCAGGCTGGTCTCAAACTCCTGGGCTCAAGTGATCCTCCTACCTCAGTCCACACACACATTTTATTAATAGCTACTCTCACCACTCCAGTTTGCTCTGTGTTCCCAGGGCTTCCCACGGATACAAATAATCTTTAGTAGAAACGATTTCTTTTCTTTTTTATTGGGTTGGAGTCTCACTCTGTCGTCCAGGCTGGAGGGCAGTGACACACACACAGCCACTGCAGCCTCGACCTGCCGGGGTCCAGCGATCCTTCTGCTTCAGCCTTCCAAGTAGCCAGAACTACAGGTGCACACTACTACGCTCGGCTAATTTTTTGATTAATTTTATTGTAGAGAGGAGATCTCGCCATGCTGTCCAGGTTGGTGTCAAACCCCTGGACTCAGACAATCCTTTTGCCTCTGCTTCCCAAAGTGCTGGGATAACAGACTTGAGTCACCACACCTGGCTCTAGTAGAAACTATTTCTATCCAAAGACATTTGGAAGTTTCTTCTCGAGGTTTGTAAAGATCAAATTTCTTCCTATCAAGTTCCCTCACCCCCACTGCATGGTCCAACCCAGCACTGCCCCTTGCCGGGGGTACTGAGCCGGCCCCATGCTCTACCCGACATTCTTGTTCCCCTGCAGTCTGTGCTCAACCCCACCCCCGGGTCACACAGTTAAAACCCAAGTCAGACTGGGCGGCTTCCATGCTCACAGCCCTGCCAGGCTTCCTGCCCCTCAGACTAAAAGCCAAGCTGGAAACGCCCCAGCAGACTTTCGCACGGGGTCTCTGCTGCCTCCCAGTTTCCTTCCCCGGCTCCCTCCTCTCTCGATCCGGCCAGAGACACCGGCCTCCATGATGCCCCCACGCACCAGGCAGGTTCCTGCCTCTCTGCTACTCCCCCCGACATACCCTCCCAACCCCCCCAGTCCTCCTCCCAGGCTGCCTTCCCACTCCCACCAGCACCCCCCAACCCATATAACCATTTCACATACTATGTCTTTTGTTTACTAGTTTATTTTCTGCCCCCCACCCCCCACTGGAAGGTGATTTGTACTAAGGCGACTGTTTTTGTGCACTGACCCATGGCCGGCTCAGCTTGTGTTTATGGGATAAATGGGTGGCCGACGAGGTTCTACTCACCCATGCCAGGAGCCGCCATGAGAATCCTAGAGACGACGACTTGTGTGATCGCCTGTTTTGCAGCATTTGCTGACTCTCCCAGGCGGTTCCCGTTTTCATCTGTGACAGGAATGCCAACTTTGAGCTCCCTGCAGAGCAAAACATGGGCAGAGACGCTCACCAAAGCCTTCAAGAAACGTCTCAAAACAGTGCTATGCTGGGAAAGACTGAGTCCCCACTGAATGCAAATACCCGCTTGGGTGTCAGGCTTGGTACTGATGCGTCTATTTTTAAGTACCACGAATAAGTGTAATCTTCCTGGGATAGATATAAAAGTAAATCAACACTAGCAAAAATTTTCTTAAAACGGTGCATTTTAAAAAATAACAATATGATTAGAAGGATAGAAAGACTAACTTTAAGAAAAGACTCATTTCGGCCGGGCACAGTGGCTCATGCCTATAATCCCAGCACTATGGGAAGCTAAAATGAGAGGATTGCATGAGCCCAGGGATTTGAGACCAGCCTGGGCAACACAGCAAAACCTTGTCTCTACAATAAATAAAAAAATGAGTAGGCATGGTTGTGTGCACCTGTGCTCCCAGTTACTGGGAAGACTGAGGTGGAAGGTTGCTTGAGTTCAGCAGGTCAAGGCTGCGGTGGCCATGAGCATGCCACTGCATTCCAGCCTGGGTGACAGAGTGAGATTGTTGACTCAAAAAAAAAAAAAGTTAAGGGTGACAGAGTGAGATTGTTGACTCAAAAAAAAAAAAAAAAAGTTAATTTCTATGCTCGTGTAAACTTGATCAACTTTTCTTTTTTTCCTTTCCTTTTCTTTTTTTTTTTTTGTGAGTTGGAGTCTCACTCTGTCGCCCAGACTGGAGTGCAGCGGCCGTTCCCGGCCACCACAGCCTCGACCTGCTGGGCTCTGGCGATCTTTCCGCCTCAGCCTTCCAAGTAGCTGGAACTACAGGTGTGCACTACCACACCCAGCTAACTTTTTGATTTATTGTAGAGATGTGGTCTTGCCAAGTTGGCCAGGCAGGTCTCAAACCCACGGGCTCAGGCAATCCACTCACCTCAGCATCCCAAAAGCACTGGGATTACAGGCTGAGCCACCGAGCCTGGCTAAGCAACTTTTCACATGAGAAACAGATATTATTCATGGCATAATTAAGTCAACTAAATCAATACACTGACTTGGAAGGGGTCACTGGTACATGGCCCTGTTGGATGTTTCCTAACTCTAGGTACTAACACTCTTAACTCCTGTCATTACCCGGGCTTTGAGTTATCCGTTCCAACATGCTTTCTGTCATCCTTTATTCTCCTTTAACTTTTGCCAGATCTAAAAAAATACTTCTGGCCAGGCGCGGTGGCTCACACCTGTAATCCCAGCAATTGGGAGGCAGAGGCAAGAGGCTTGCTTGAGCCCAGGACTTCGGGACTAGCTTGGGCAACTTGGTGAGACCTCATCTCTACAATTAATCAAAAAACTAGCTGGGCACGTTGGTGTGTGCCTGTAGTCCCAGCTACTTGGCAGGCTGCGGCAGGATGCCTGAGCCCCGGCAGGTTGAAGCTGTGGTGAGCCGTGATCATGTCACTGCACTCCAGCCTGGGCAACAGACTGAGACCTCCGACTCAAAATCAAATGAATAAATATTTCCAAAGATACAGCTTAATACTACATTAAGTCCTAAAATAATTTTTTTTTTGGGGGGGAAGGAACCTATTTTAGAGGATAAACTTTCTTTGCATAGACTTTCTCTGTCCAGCCCAAGCACCACTCAGTGCAAACCTCAGATATAAATTACAGGATTTTTATTACACAAAAGACAAAGATGACTCGAAGCCCCACACTCCTTAGCTGCTTCAATAATTAGCAAGTCGTGGCTAAGCCTGTTTCACCAATGGGCCCATCCTTACCCCCAAACCCAGATTATTCTGAAGCAAATCTCATATGGTTACATCTGCACGTATTAAAAAAAAACTGTAGACAGTTGCAGCGAAGTGAATGATTGCCAGACTCTCCTGCCAAGCACAGGTCGCTACTAAGAGTGCCCATTCATCTTACCTTTGCCTCATTAATGGAATATTAATACAATTAGCAGCAGCCACAGCAGCAAAGGGAACAAAACGTCCTATCAGTGGTGACACGTGCTGTAGAAGAGAGAATTCCAAGAGCATCACCTTGCTTTTTCTGAACTACTGAATGGAAATAACCTTTTTCTTCTTGAAAACATTGTTTTGGGTTGAAGTCTCACTCTGTCACCCAGGTTGGAGTGCAGTCGGACGCTCACGGCCACCGCAGCCTCGACCTGCTGGGCTCAGGCGGTCCTTCTGCCTCAGCCTTCCAAGTAACTGGAGCCACAGGCATGCATCACCATACCCGGCTAAGTTTTTTATTCATTGTAAAGTCGAGGTCTCGTCAAGCTACCCAGGATGGTCTCAAACTCCCGGACTTAGGCAGTCCTCTTGCCTCGGCCTCCCTAAATGCTGGGATTAAAGGCATGAGCCACTGAGTCCAGACTGAAAACTCTTAAGATATGCAGAATTCTACTTTAATAGAAGAGTACGTTTTTTTTTTTTTTTAAAGTAAGAGTCTCATTGTTACCCAGGCTGCAGTGCAGTGGCATGCTCATGGCCACTGCAGCCTCTACCTGCTGGGCTCAGGTGATCCTTCCACCTCAGCCTTTCAAGTAGCTGGAACCACAGGCATGCACCACCATGCCTGGTTAATTTTTTTGATTTATTGTAGAGATGAGGTCTCGTCAAGTTGCCTCCAGGCTGGTCCTGAAACCCTGGACTCAGGCATTCCTCTAACCTCTGCCTCCAAAAGTGCTGGGATTACAGGTGTGAGGCACCATACCTGGCAGAACAGTACTTTCAAAACTTGTTTCCTAGGTGAGGCACAGTGGCTCATGCCTATAATGTGAGCACTTTGGGAGGCCGAGGGGAGGATTGCTTGAACCTAGGAGTTCGAGGCCAGACTGGGTAAGAGAGTAAAACCTTGTCTTTACAAAAATAAAAAAATTTAGCCAGGTGTGGTGGTTCACACCTGTAGTCCCATCTACTCTGGAGGCTAAGGCATGAGGATCACCTGAGTCCAGGAGTCTGAGGCTGAAGTGAGCCATGATCATGTCACTGAACTTCTGCACTCCAGCCTGGGCAACAGAGTGAGACCTTGACTCAAAAAAAAAAAAAAGGTCAGCCTCAGTGTCTCACACCTGTCATCCCAGCACTTTGGAAGACTGAAGTGGGAGAATCCCTTGGGCCCAGGAGTTTGAGAACAGCAGGGAAATATAGCGAGACCTCCTATTTACAAAAATAAAAAAGATTTGTTCCTAACCGTGTTTTCATATTTCCAGCATGGGCGTACTAGGACCACATATATTTCTTTCTTTTTTTTTTTTTTTTTTAAGATGGAGTCTCACTCTGTCACCCAGGCTGGAGTGCAGTGACACACGACCACCGCAGTCTCGACCTGCTGGGCTTAGGCTATCCTTCCGCCTCAATGTTCCAAGTAGCTGGAACTACAGGTGTGTGTCACCACATCCAGATAATTTTTTGATTAATTGTAGAGACGAGGTCTCGCCAAGTTGCCTAGGCTTGCCTCACCCTCCCAAAGGGCTGGGATGACAGACTTGAGCCACTGCATCCAGCCCACCGCATATATTTCTAAGGCATTTTAGCTTGGTGTGGTTGAAAGAATGCTACCTTTGGAATCCCAAAGTCTTGAACTCAGGTGCTGGCTCGTCCCCCTCCTCTGAGCTGTGGCCCGCGGCATACCGCCTGCCACAATGTCTCTGGGGGGCTGCACATTTAGCCCAGTGCTTCCCTCATAGCCCCAGGCACAGACCACAATCTTGACTGGCATTAGGGTGACAACCCTTCCCGAACTTGCTGGAATGTGAAATTAAAATATGCAGCCAAAGCTAATGACTCTCATTACAAAGCCATATGCCTCAAACTATTCTGAGAAATAACAGAGGGACTAGGGTGACAGGCAGAAGAAGACCCGAGTACCTTGGTTAACGCGTTAAGTCCGAGAGCTGTTGCTACAGCACCAGTTGTGGCAGAAACGTATGCCGTCCCCAGTTCACTGAAAAGAAAACAGGGTATTATGTAAGTGACGAGGGTATGTCAGGAAGAGGTAGGGCGGCATTACCTGAAGAAATCAGGGGGATGCAAAGGCGCTTGAGGGGAAATGAAGAGTCTACCAAACAATACTGATCACTCTACAGAAAGAAAAATCTAGCTGGGCTCAGCCCGTACTCCCAGCGCTTTGGGAGGTTGAGGTGAGTGGATTGCCCGAGCCCGCGGATTTGAGACCCTGGGCAACTTGGCGAGACCTCATCTCTACAATAAATCAAAAAATCAACCGGGCATGGTAGCGCATGCCTGTAATTCCGGCTACTTGGAAGACTGAGGCAGAAGGATCGCCGGAGCCCAGGAGGTTGAGGCTGCAGTGGCCGGGAGTGGCCACTGCACTCCAATCTGGGTGACAGAGTGAGACTCCAACTCAAAAAAATAAAAAAAGAAGAATCTAGAGAAAAAGCAAGTAGACTAAAAAAAAAAAAAAGGGGGTGAGGGGATTTAGGCTGGGTGTGATGACTCACGCCTGGAATCCTAGCACTTTGGGAGGCTGAGGCGAGAGGATTACCTGAGCCCAGGGGTTTAACACCAGCGTGGGCAACATGGCAAGGAGACCGCATCTCTATAATAAATAAAAAAATTAGCTGGGCGTGGTGGCACGCGCCTATAATTCCAGCTACTTGGAAGGCTGAGGTGGAAGGATCCTCTGAGCCCAGCAGGTCAAGGCTGCGGTGGCTGGGAGCGTGCCCCTGCACTCCAGTCTGGGAGACTCCAACTCAAGGAAAAAAAAAAGGGATTCTTCATCTATAACCTGACTACAGCCACAAACAAGTAGACATATAAGACGTGCAGACTATGTATTCATGGAAAGAAGGGGAGCTGTGTGCAGGAAGCTACAAATGCAGGGACAGGCATAGTGGGCTAAAATGGAGCATATTTGCTCAAACAAAAAACACTCCTCAAAATATTAATATACATACTGAAAGCAAAAATGAAGAGCTTCTCTTTTTAAAATGATCTCCTGACTGGATAAACGTAACTAAGCCTCATCATCAAAATACAATAAAGCACAAGCAAGTCTCTCTTCTTTTCAAAGAAATTTTCATTGTGATAAACACCAATGAGCTGCAGATTTCAATATCCTTTGTCCCATATGATGATAGCAGGAGACTACAGGCTGCTATCATCATAAGGACAATTTTATAATTTTATTTTAATTAATTGATTATTTTGGAGTCAGAGTCTCACGGCCAAGTCTCACGTCAAGCTGGCATGCTCACTGCAGCCTTGACTTGCTGGGCTCAGGCGATCCTTCTGCCTCAGTCTTCCAAGTAGCTGGAACTTCAGGAGGGCACCACCACGCCCGCCTAATTTTTTTGGTTTATTACAGAGACGAGGTCTCGCCAAGTTGCCCAGGCAGGTCTCGAATCCCTGCGCTCACATAATCCTCTTATCTCAGCTTCCCAAAGTGCTGGGATTACAGGCGGGAGCCACTGCGCCCAGCTCAAGTTTTATACAAGTTATGCTATGACTTTTGATTAACTGCTTCAACCTAAATTTTTTTTTTTAAAGTCACATTTCTAAACTCACTGCTTCTTTTGGGCTCCACAGATGAACTATTTTAAAAACAAGTCTGACCAGGTACAGTGACTCATGCCTGTAATCTTGGCACTTGTGAGGCTGAGGCAGGAGACTCGCTTGAGCCCAGGAGTTCGAGGCCAGCCTGAGCAACATAGTGAGACCCAGTATCTACAAAAAATTTAAAAATTAGCTAGGCATGGTGGCACACACCTGTAGTCCCAGCTACTCAGGAGACTGAGGTGGAAGGATTGCCTGAGCCCAGGAGGTCGAGGCTGTGATAAGCCACGATCATGCCACTGCACTCCAGCCTGGGTGACAAAGTGAGACTCCCACTCAAACAAAAACAAACCATCAAACCCCCCCCACAAGTCAGATATAAAGGTCACACCACCAAGGTTTCCCCTGGATTTCTGCTGACCCCTCTACTTTTGGCATTGGTGTCTGTCAACTTGGGCAGAGTAGTTGGGGTACAACTTGACAATGACCGGAAGCCAGACCTGGGCTGCCCGCTGCTGTGTTCTCCACAGGGCACAAGCCTCAGGGTGTGAGATGACCTTTGACACCAACAAGCATGAGAAAGCGGCCTAGAAAATTGCTAACAAAAAGCAACATTTTACATAAAATGATGCTACATAATATTCCGGCCAATATAAATGATGTATACAGACAGATTTTTAAAGTGGGGAAGAGCCGGGCTTGGTGGCTCAGCCTATAATCCCCCGCCTTTGGGAGGCTGAGGTGAGTGGATTGCCCGAGCCCGCGGGTTCGAGACCCGCCTGGGCAGTGAGACCTCATCTCTACAATAAATCAAAAAATCAGCCGGGCATGGTAGCGCATGCCTGTGATTCCAGCTACTCAGAAGGCTGAGGCGGAAGGATCGCCAGAGCCCAGCAGGTCGAGGCTGCGGTGGCTGGGAGCAGCCACTGCACTACAGTCTGGGCGAGAGTGAGACTCCAACTCAAAAAATAAATAAATAAATAAAGCGGGGAAGTATCATGCTTAATCAAATGGACGCCAGCGCTGCAGAGGAACCTACAGCCTTACTTGACAGTGAGGGGGGCATCTCCGCTTCTGTTGGTGTAATTGACGACGGCATTGAAAGACTGGTTAATCCACTGCCAGAATAGCACAGCCGGCGTAGTCCTAAAACAGAGCGATCCGTCACATACCCACCATCACTTGGACCCAGTCGCTGTATGGAACAGAAAATGTGAACACCAGTAACCAGAGAGGAGGCGTGCTGGGGGAGGGAGAACGTAAGGACTTTGCATTCGGGCCATGGCCTTAGGACCAGCATGGCCAGGCAGAATTTTATCCTCTCTGATGGCAGGCTTCCTCACTCAGTAGCTACGGAAAATTCCAAACTTAGGGGGTTACCATGAGAAAAAAGTAAGACAACATTTGGAGAGAGTCTGGCACAGAGTAGACACTCAATGAATGTCAAGTCCCTTCTCTTGGGCCTAAGCAGTGCTGCTCCTAACTCGACGTGCAATCCTGTATGTCTATGTCTACACCTTTACTTGTATCTATACTCATACCTATGTGAATGGATTGAAAGGATTTGCTTGTGGACTCTTAATTTCTCTACCCCATTTCCTTTTGGGTCTAAGATTTAGGAATAAATCCAATCTCCTTTTGAACAACAAAAAAGATCCTGTTTAGAAGAGGGGAAAGTGCTGGGCATGGTGGCTCACACCTGTAATCCCAGCACGTTGGGAGGCCGAGGCAGGAGGATTGCTTGAGCACAGGAGTGCTAGCCTAGGCAACACAGTAAGACCTCATCAAAAATAATAATGATAATAATAATTAGCTGGGCATGGTGGCACATGGTTGTAGTCCCAGCCTCTTGAGTGGCTGAGATGGGAGGATCACCTGAGCCCAGGAGGTTGAGGCTGTGGCAAGCCATGATCATGCCACTGTACTTCAGCCTAGGCAACAGAGTGAGATCCTGACCAAAAAAAATCAAATAAAATAGAAGAAGGAGCCGGGTTTGGTGGCTCAGCCTGTAATCCCACGCCTTTGGGAGGCTGAGGATTGCCTGAGCCTGCGGGTTCGAGACCCGCCTGGGCAACTTGGCAAGACCTCATCTCTACAATAAATCAAAAAAAAACATTAACCGGGCGTGGTAGCATGCGCCTGTAGTTCCAGTTACTTGGAAGGCTGAGGTGGAAGGATCACCAGAGCCCAGCAGGTTGGGGCTGTGGTGGCCGGGAGCGGCCACTGTACTCCAGTCTGGGCAACCGAGTGAGACTCCAACTCAAAAAAAAAAAAAGAAAAGGTAAAAGAGACCCCTAGAAAAGCAACATTCATGCAAATAAAACTAAAAGTGAAATGACATTTCTTTTTTGTTATATATACTTACAGACTATAATGGGATGTTTTGATATTATATACATTGTGAAGTGATTCAATGAAGCTAATTACCATATTCTTCACTTCATATACTTATGAAATGACATTTGTTTCAATAACATTATTTACATACAAAAAGTAAACTTTAAGCTTCTGTAGTACTAAGCTGTTATCCCACAGCTATAACGTACCTATAAAATGTCATCATGCACCCTGTGATGGTCATGTTCATTGGAACCTGAGCTGACATTCTTCCTATTAAGATCATCTTCTCACCAGTGTCAGGATGAAAAGCTGAATCGTAGATGTACTTTGCTTTCCATAATTCATTTTCTGTAAGACCAGGTGGGACAACTCCTTGCCTAGGAAAACAAATGTTCATTTCAGATTGACAAAGGACACTTGTTTATTCCAACTATCTTGCCAGTGCTCTAGAGATCAGTAGCTACAAGATTTTAATTTTTATTTTTTGGGGGTTGGAGTCTCACCGTGTCACCCAACTAAAGTGCAGTGGCATGTTCATGGCCACCGCAGCCTTGACCTGCTGGGCTCAGGTGATCCTTCTGCTTCAGCCTTCCAAGTAGCTGGAACTACAGGCACGTGTCACCACACCTGGTCCATTTTAAAAAAATTGATTGTAGAGACAAGATCTTGCCACGTTGACCAGGTTGGTCTCAAACTCATGGGCTCAGGCAATCCTCTCATCTCTGTCTCCCAAAATGCTGGGATTATAGGTGTGACCCACCATGCCCAGCTGCTACAAAGTTTTTAAAAGTTTACACTTGCTTGTCTCAGTGGCTCATGCCTGTAATCCCAGCACTTTGGGAGGTGGAGGCGAGAGTACTTCTTGAGCCCCCAGGAGCTCGAGACCAGCCTGGGCACCTTGGCGAGACCTGTAGTTCCAGTTACTTGAAAGGCTGAGATGGAAGAATCACCTGAGCCCAGCAGGTCAAGACTATGGTGGCCATGAGTGTGCCACTGCACTCCAGCCTAGGTGACAAAGTGAGCCTCCAACTCAAAAGAAAAAAACACAAAAAAAGAAGTTTATACTTATCTAAAATAATCATGCCAGGATAGCGTGACAAATCTCTTACATAAAGCCAGTAAAAACTGCAAAACCTACAGGACAATAAGTACCTAAAATGAACATTTCAAACCTATTCAGCACAAATTATCTGTAATTTGGAAATGCAATAAATAAATACAAATCTTGTATAATAGGGAAGGATTCAACTCTGAAATGTTCTTTGTTTTCAATGACATATGTAAAAATGTATTTTGAACTTTGTGAACTCTGAAATATTTTTAACCCATTAAACAAAAGTGATGGCAATCAAGAATATTAATTCATGCTTAAATCTACAGAATAAAAACCTAGTTTACGAAGACACTTGGCGAATAAAAAGAAACATTAGGTACGTTAGCTACTTTTCCCCCTTTATCAAAGAAACACAAGTTCATTACCAGAAATTTAGAAAATACAAAATTCCATTAGAGCAACTGAAAGCACTTGAGCCTTTGCCTACTCACCCCCCCATCATGTTTCTGTGAGTACATTTCAGTCTGTCTTTTAGAATCCATAGATGATGTGCCTATTTAAAGGCATCACGCCAGACCTTCTGCTTTATTTATTTTTTTTATTTTTTTGAGTTGGATTCTCACTCTGTCACTCAGACTGGAGTGCAGTGGCACGCTCCCGGCCACCGCAGCCTCGACCTGCTGGGTTCTGGTGATCCTTCCGCCTCAGCCTTCCAAGTAGCTGGAACTACAGGTGTGCGCTACCATGCCTGGCTAATTTTTGATTTATTGTAGAGATGAGGTCTCGCCAAGTTGCCCAGGCGGGTCTTGAACCCGCGGGCTCAGGCAATCCACTCGCCTCGGCCTTCCAAAGTGCTGGGATGACAGGCTGAGCCGATGAGTCCAGTCACCTTCTGCTTTATAACAGCCTTTTACATTCAATAATATTCGGTCTATTTTGGTATATTCTTTTTTTGGGGGGGTCGGAGTCTCACTCTGTCACCCAGGCTAGAGGGCCGTGGCATGATCACAGCCACTGCAGCCTCGACCTGCTGGTCTCAGACAATCCTTCCGTCTCAGTCTTCCAAGTAGCTGGAACTACAGGCACGTGCCACCACGTTTGGCTAATTTTTTGATATCTATTATAGAGACGAGGTCCGCCATGGTGCCCAGGCTGGTCTCAAACCCCTGAGCTCAGGCAATCCTCTTGCCTCAACTTCCCAAAGTGCTAGAATTACAGGCCAGGCTTGAGCCACCGTGCCCGGTCATACTTTTTTCTTTTAATCTCTGTTTTGGCATTGGGTACATGTGGCATCATAAAATCAATGACAAAGTATTCTCTCATTTCTTTCTATTTTCAGGGGGAGTTTGGGGTAGAATTGGTATTACTTCTTCCCATGGAAAAAAATGATTTCTTTCACCTGTAAAGCTATCTGTCCTTAAGGATTTCTGTGGAAAAGCTCTCTTGTTTGTTTCCTTGCCATCTTGTTTTCTGTTTGTCTCATATCCTCCTAACTCCCTTTTTTCTCTTTCGTTTGTTTCTTTGGGGTTGAGTCAGTTTCAGTAATTTATATACCAGTATTTACAGCATGTTATATATTTCACTAAGATTTTCAAAATTTTTAGCGAAACATCTGTATAATAGGCTTTATTTTACTATTTTTGTTTCGCTTTTAGGTAACATTTTTATTCCTTTTGTTATATATTTTGGTTTTTATGTTTATATTATATTGATTAAACTTGCCAGAGGCTTATCCTTTCCTGGGTTTATCAAATAACCAATTCTTACATTTATTTTTTAGTCCTATTAATTAATCTCTGACTTAAAAAAAAAAAACAAAACCTCTTCTGTCTTCTTTGAAAAGTATACACCGGGAGCAGTGGCTCACGCCTGTCATCCCGGCACTTTGGGAGACTAAGGCACGAGGACTGCTTTGAGCATGCGAGTTCGAGAGCACTCTGGTCAACATAGCAAAACCTTATATCTACAAAAAAAAAATAGTATATGTACAGTAGATAAATGCATGAAGATCTGTGAGTCAGACTGTCTGGGTTCCAATTTTGGCTCTACCACTTACTAGCGGTGTGACTCTGAGGAAGTTAAATTTTAATGCCTTGGTTGCTTTATGTGAAAAATGGACATAACAATAGTATCTACCTTCAAGGGTCATAAGGATTACATTAATGAATGTAAACTAATTAAAGCAGTACCCAGCATACTGTGGTTTTGCTATTTTTTTATTATGTTGTTGCTCTCTAATTTATTAACCTGAATTATCAATTTATTCATTGTCAACCTTTATTGTTCATTTGTTTGTTTGTTTGTTTGTTTATTAAGAGTCTCACTCTGGTACCCAGGCTGGCCCTGCTGGGCTCAGGTGATCCTTCTGCCTCAGCCTTTCTTTTTTTTTGAGTTGGAGTCTCACTCTGTTGCCCAGACTGGAGTGCAGTGGCAAGCTCCTGGTTACTGCAGCCTCGACCTGCTGGGCTCTGGCGATCCTTCTGCCTCGGCCTTCCAAACAGCTGGAACTACAGGCGTGTGCTACCATGCCCAGCTAATTTTTTTGATTTACTGTAGAGATGAGGTCTCGCCAAGTTGCCCAGGTGGGTCATGAACCCGTGGGCTCAGGCAATCCACTCACCTCAGCCTCCCAAAGCGTGGGATTACAGGCTGAGCCACTGAACCTGACTCTGCCTTAGCCTTTCAAGTAGCTGGCGCTACAGGCACGTGTAACCTCATCCAGCTAATTTTTGATTTACTGTAGAGACGAGGTCTCCCAATGTTGCCCAGGTTGGTCTCAAATTTGTGGGCTCAGGCAATCCACTCGCCTCCACTTCCCAAAGTGCTGGCATGACAGGTGTGAGCCACCGCTCCTGGCCAGCCTTTATTGTTTAATCATGGAGACATGTAAAACTGTAAATGTTCTCTCAGAGGGCAATTTTAGCACAACTTCTTAAGGTTTCCCATTAATTTTCTCATTGGTTTTACTTTGTAATTTTACTTGTAGTTCTTTTGGTTTTAAACAAAGAGTCAAAAGACCATAAAAATTCTGATGTGATTAGATGGTCTATCAAAGACTGTGAAAAGTAGCTGCAACGACAGGCATGCGCCACCATACCTGGCTTATTTTTTTGACTTATTATACAGATGAGGTCTTGCCAAGTTGCCCAGGCTAGTCTCAAACCTGAGCTCAGGCAATCCTCTTCCCTCGGTCTCCCAAATTGTTGGGATGACAGGTGTGAACCACTGCACTTGGCTCTTTTCTGTTCTATATTTAGTTTTACTTATTTGTACTTTTTCCTAGTTTCTCTTTTTTTTTTCTTTTGAGTTGGAGTCTCACTCCGTCGCCCAGACTGGAGTACAGTAGCCGCTCCCGGCCACCGCAGCCTCGACCTGCTGGGCTCCGGCGATCCTTCTACCTCAGCCTTCTGAGGAGCCAGAATTACAGGCATGCGCTACCACGCCCGGCTGATTTTTTGATTTATTGTAGAGATGAGGTCTCGCCTGCCCAGGCGGGTCTCAAACCCGCGCTAGTTTCTCTTTTAAGAGCCCCAGTTCATTACATCTTTAGTGTCTATTCTCTCTTCCTCTTATATAACCTTTTCCTCTTTTCTGTCTATATCAGGGATGGGCAAACTACAGTTCATGGCCTGTTTTTGAATGGCCTGGGAGCTCAGAAAGGCTTTTACATTTTTAGAAGATTATATAAACAAACAACAATTAAGAATATGAGGAGGCTCAGTCTGTCATCCCAGCACTTTGGGAGGCCGAGGCGAGTGGACTGCCTGAGCCCACAGGTTTGAGACCCGCCTGGGCAACTTGGCGAGACCTCGTCTCTACAATAAATCAAAAATTAGCTGGGTGTGGTAGCAAATACCTGTAGTTCTGGCTACTTGGAAGGCTGAGGCAGAAGGATTGCCGGAGCCCAGCAGGTCGAGGCTGCAGTAGCTGGAAGCCACTGCACTCCAGTCTGGGAGACAGAGTGAGACTCCAACTCAAAAAATAAAAATAAAAAAAATAAAGAATATGAGATAGGGACCATATAACCTGCAAAGCCTAAAATGCTTATCTTCTGGCCCTTTACAGGAAGTCTGCTGACCTCTGATTCTCATTCTTGGGAACACTTTCAGGTTCATTGTCTATTGTTACTTATATCTTTTGAGTCAAGGTCTCACTGTGTTGCCAGGCTAGAGTGCAGTGAAATGACCACAGCTCATTGCAGCCTCAACCTCCTGGGCTCAGCTAATCCTTCTGCCTCAGCCTCCCCAGTAGCTAGAACTATAGGCATATACAACTATAGGCCTGGCTAATTTCTTAAATTTTTTGTGAGATGATGTCTTGCTATGTTGCGCAGGCTGGTCTCAAACTCCTGGCCTCAAGCAATCCACCCTCCTCGGCCTCCCAAAGTACTGGGATGGCAGGCATGAACCACTGTGCTGGGCTTATTCACTGTTTCTAACTCTGCCTTTCACGGTGCCGTATCTGATGCAGTTCTCTACTGCCACCTCCAGTGAGGATTTCAACTTTCCACTACAATGTCAGATTTCTGACACTCTTCCTCCTGCCATCTTTTTTTTTTGAGTTGGAGTCTCACTCTGTGACCCAGGCTGGAGTGCAGTGGCATGCTCATGGCCACCCCAGTGTCGACCTGCTGGACTCAGGCAATCCTTCCACCTCAGTCTTCCAAGTAGCTGGGACTACAGGCACATGCCACCACACCTGGCTCATTTTTTGATTTATTGTAGACATGAGGTCTTGTCAAGATGTCCAGGCTGGTCTTGAACCACTGAGCTCAGGCAATCCTCTCGCCTCAGCCTCCCAAAGTGCTGGGATTACAGCACCTGGCTTCTTACATGGTTTTATACAGAAAAAGTTGCCAACTGCTATCTCAGAGTATTTCTATGAGAAGGGGACCCAAAAAACCTGGTATTATCTTTTGGAGGGCAGAGACCCCTTGTAGTCCAGGCTTCTCCCACTAGGTAAGTGTTCTAGAAACCTATCTGCATTAATGTACCAGCTAGCATTGATGTCAGAGGCTGTGTTCGGCTTCAGTGAATTTCTGGGGGGAGATTCTTTCAAAGCATTTGCTCAGTTCATGATGGGTGATTTATGAGCACACCTGCCCATACTGCGCTGAGGTATTCAGCAGTTTTTGCCCAAAACCAGCATAACCCCATGTCCTACCCTCCCTGTTGATCTGATCTTGCCAAGAATGAATTTTTTTTTTGTTTTCCTGATGAAAAAAGTTCTTGCTGGGCACAGTGGCTCATGCCTGTGATCCCAGCACCCTGAGAAGCCCAGGCAGAGGACTGCTTGAGCCCTGAAGTTCAAGACCAGCCTGGGCAACATACCAAGACCCCATCTCTACAAAAAATAAAAAAATAGCTGGATGTGGTGGCACATGCTTGGTCCCAGCTACTCAGGATGCCAGGGTGGGGGGATTGCTTGAGCCCAGGAGGCTGAGGCTATGGTGAGCCATGATCGTGCCACTGCACTCCAGCTGAGAGTGAGACACTGACTCCAAAAAAGGAAAAATATGATTTATAACCCAGCCTACATTACAATTGTCTTTATGCCCATGTAATCATGAAATATAATTTGAATATATTCTTCTAGAAGAAGTCAGTCGGGCATGGTGGCCCACACCAGTAATCCTAGCACTTTCAGAGGCAAGAGGATTGCCTGAGACCAGCCTGGGCAACATGGTGAGACCTTGTCTCTACAATAAATAAATAAATTAGCCAGGCATGGTAACGCATGCCTGTAGTTCCAACTACTTGGAAGGTTGAGGCGGAAGAATCACCAGAGCCCAGCAGGTTGATGCTGGGGTGGCTGTGAGCATGCCACTGTACTCCAGTCTGGGTAACAGAGTGAGATTCCAACTCAAAAAAAAAAAAAAAAAAATTAGCCATGCATGGTGGTGTGCACCTGTAGTTCCAGCTATTCAGAAGGCTGAAGCGGAAGGATCACCTGAGCCCAGCAGAGGCTATGGTGGCCATGAGTGTGCCACTGCACTCCAGCCTGGGCGACAGAGTGAGACTTCAACTCAAAAAAAAGAAAAGAAAAAAGTCCTCAAATGGAAATGTTTTGCTGATGTGGAAGAGGTGAAACAAAAACCGGCAGAAGCACTAAATGACATCAAAATGGACGAGTTCAACAACTGTTTTGAGCAGTGGAGAAAGTGTCTTGATAGGTATATTACATCCAACGAAGAGTACTTTGAAGGTGACTGAAGTTTAAACATGTAAGAATAAATACACATTTTTTAATAAATAAATTCTGGGTTTTTTGGTCTCCTCCATACACAGTAGCATCTTCTCTTACCTCTCACAGCTGATGGAGTGCACCCCAATCTACAATCCCTGTAGACACTGCCATCAGTGCCTTTCCCATCTGTGCTACTACCTGCAGGGATTCATTCACTGGGGCTAAATCCTGAAGGCAACCAGCCTGCCCTAATTCTTGGCAACTTGTTTCTGGCATGACGCTGCTTCTGCCCAGAGACAAAAAAATGCAGGGGGTGGTCGTGTTGAAGAACAGGAGGCAGCATGCTGGGATAAGGGATGTCACAGATCGGCACCCGTGGGTATGAGGGATGACTATTTCATTTTCAGGATACTTTGAACTCTGGATATCTGTGTGAAGAGTCAGCAGTGGGGGAAACAATAGGTCTTCCTGCTCTTCCTTTTGGGCAAAAGGATTCCATTAAAAAAAATTTATGAGCCAAGCTCGGTGGCTCAGCCTGTGATCCCGTGCCTTGGGAGGCTGAGGTGAGTGGATTACCTGAGTCCGCAGGTTTAAGACCCGCCTGGGTAACTTGGTGAGACCTCAGCTCTACAATAAATCAAAAAATTAGCCGGGTGTGGTAGCGCGTGCCTGTAGTTCCAGCCGCTTGGAAGGCTGAGGCAGAAGGATCTCTGGAGCCTAGCAGGTCGAGGCTGCGGTGACCGAGAGCAGCCACTGCATTCCAGTCTGGGCGGCAGCGTGAGACTTCAACTCAAAAAAAAAAAAAAAAATTATGGCTCACTCCTGAAATCCTAGCACTTTGGGAAGTCGGGGCAGGAGGATTGCTTGAACCCAGGAGTGCAAGACCAGCCTAGGCAAAATAGAAACACCTGGTCTCTACAAAAAAATAAAGATAAAGAAATTAGCTGGGTGTGGTAGCACGTGCCTATACTCCCAGCGACTCAAGAGGCTGAGATGGAAGGATCGCCTGAGCCCAGGAGATCGAGCTGTGATTGTGTTACTACACTCTAGTGTGGGTGATAGAGTGAGACCCTTACTCAAAAAACAATTAAAAAAAATAAAATAAAATTGCTAGTGAAGGTTTAAAGACAACAGACTAACATGATGATCTATTTATAAATTAAGACGAAACCCAAACCATGAATGTTACCTGTAGTCGTGTACTATTTTTCTCGCATTTTCTAGTTGTGCGTTTGTTAGCAGAATATTCCTGGGATCAGTCACAGTGAAGAAATGATTGGCTCGTCCAACAAAAGTGCTTTGGTCCCACCGTGGCTCCTTGATATTAATGTTTGGTGGCAGTTCTCCAGACATCGTCCCAGACTGCAGGGTCAAAAAGGCAAGTTATGTAACGCTTATGAGGTCACTACATATGTAGAACAGTCACACCAAGTCTTCAAGTAAAGATTTATATACCCTTGGCTGGGCTCAGTGGCTCAGCCTGTTATCCCAGCACTTTGAGAGGCTGAGGTGAGTGGATTGCCTGAGTTGGTGGCTTCGAGACCAGCCCGGGCAACTAGGCGAGACCTCGTCTCTACAGTAAATCAAAAAATTAGCCAGGCGTGGTAGCATGCGCCTGTAGTTCTGGCTACTTGGAAGGCTGAGGGGAAAGGATCGCCAGAGCCCAGCAGGTCAAGGCTGCGGTGGCCGGGAGTGTGTGCCACTGTACTCCAGTCTGGGCGACAGAGTGAGACTCCAACTCAAAAAAAAAAAAAAAAAAAAAAGATTTATATACCCTTCTGATTTATAAAGATAATATTTCTAAAAATGGCAAAAAGGTCATCTAAATTCAAAGCTAGCTTTGTCTATAAATCCCAACTGATCTTAATCAGATTTCAGTAGTTTCCTACATATTTCTCATAATAGGTACATAGTATTTCAACATACCTTCCTTTGTTAGATACATAGGAACACTCCAGGAAAAAAACAAACAAACAAACAAAAAAAATATATATATACGTACAGCATTTTAAAACAATATCAACAGTAACAGGGTCTAAAGTTTGAAGCTATTTTTTTTTCTGAGCGAAGTAATGAATGTCAAACTACCACTGCATTCCAGCCTACTAAATGTGCTATTTCTAGCAGTAGAAGTGACTAATGATAGGAAAAAAGTTCTAAATGCTAAAAATTATCCAAATAAAAGAAGATGCAGACTCATTCAGCCTTGTTTAGCACATGAACCACCACTCAGAAATTAAAAATTGTATTCTTCAACTGACTGGGAACACAGTGGGAGAAACACATTCTGACAGTCTCATGATTAAGAACAGCAAAGGCAGCGTATAATTACCCTCATAAAATTTTTATTTTCTGGCTAAAGAATCATTACTTTTTTCCTAAAAGTAATTAAATTCTTTCTGTGAGTAATATGTGCTTATTTTAGAACGTCACTGTATTGCTGTAACAGCCGCTTACTGTGTTATTCTGAAAAATACAAGCCTCTTATAAAAAATAAAGAATAAAACAAAATCTCCCATAATCCAGACACTCTGAAATAATCATTGTTCATGTTTTGGGACATTTTCCTATAGACATTTCTGTACATGTTATCATATAATTAAAAAAATAAGTTGATGTACTGCATATTTTAATATCCCCAATTTTTGTTTTTGGCATTTATCTCATGAGCTCTCCCCCATGGCACTAAATATTCACTATGGATATATACCAGCACCTTTAATGTTGACACTGTCTTGGTTTTTCACTATTTTCCCATTACACATAATGCTGTATTCTTATCTACGAACCTCTTCTCTTATGGCCAGACCAGTGATTTCCTCCAACTCGCTATCTCTGCACGTTAGCAGGTCAAAGGATCTAAGGACCATAAAGGCTTTCAACCACTGTTTTTTGTTTGTTTTGAGTGGGGACCTCACGCTGTTGCCCAGGCTGGAGTACAGTGGCACCATCACAGCTCACCACAGCTTCGATCTCCTGGGTTCAGGGGATCCTTCTGCCTCAGCCTCCTGAATAACTGGGACTACCAGCGTGTGCCACCATGGCCAGCTGATTTTTTATTTTTGGTAGAGACGAGATCTCGCTATGTTGCCCAGGCTGGTCTCGGACTTCTGGGCTCCAGCGATCCTCTCGCCTTGGCCTCCCAAAGGGCCGAAATCACAGGCATGAGCCACCATGCCCAACTTGTATTTTTAAATAGGGTAGTCAGGGTAGGCCTCGTTGAGAAAATAACATTGAAACAAGATCAGAGGGATCTTGCTGCTCTGCCCACTGCCTGCTCTCCGCACAGCGCCTGTCCCACACTGTTGGCGCCACCTAGACCCTCCCCGACCCCACTCCGGTCTCACTCTTCCTCACTCCACCCCAGTTCATGTCTTCTCGCCTTCCTTTAAAGGTGCCAGACAGCCGGGTTCGGTGGCTCAGCCTGTCATCCCGTGCCTTTGGGAGGCTGAGGTGAGTGGATTGCCTGAGCCCGCGGATTCGAGACTCGCCTGGGCAGCGAGACCTCATCTCGACAAT